GCTCCTGCAGCATGCATGAAAACTCAAGGTTCTGGTCATTTTTATTTTGATAACTTTTGATAACTTGGCAGGTTTACCAAGTTTGAAGTTATTAGCTCAGAACAGCTTGGAGCTCGACAAAGTGGAACATTTATGAAACAACACTGGGTTTAAGGCAAGGCATTTACCTCCAAGAGACATTTTTCATGGAGGTTCCATCTATGTACCAGCTTCAGCTCTAGGATTTACCAGTTGGCCTGTTTCACATTAGGGGGCGTTGTAGAGTCAGTTGGCCATGCCTATTTTGAATTCTATTAAAATGCAAAAATTTCAGTTGGGGGAAATTTTTGGGTTAAAGTTTGGTGAGTTTCGCTTTAAGTTGAGGCTTCCAAATTAGCGTTTCTTTTGTGCAAAGAAAAATAAACAGTTGAATTAAAATAGGCCTTCGCAGCACTTTCACTGTTCTGGTCTAAATATTAATACAACTTAAAGCTATGCACAATTTATAAAAAATAGTTAGAAAAAACTGATATTGCATCTAGTGGTAGCAAGATATGGTACTGCACAATGCCAGTGTTGTAGAAATTGCAAAGATGAGAGATAAGAGTGGTGCAGATGTTTTGACATCTGCACCACTCTTAGTGCTTCATTACTGGTTGTGGATGATGTGCAGTCTGACTGCAGTTGGGATGAATGTAACTTTCTTTCCTGCACCGTTGGTGGATCAGTCTGCTGCTGAAGGCCCCACAGCCTCATACAGGGTGAGAAGAGTTGATCACAACTGCCTTCAGTTTAGCTAACGTCTTTTTCTCACCCGCCGCCTCAATGGAGTCCAGAGAGCAGTTCAGACTGAGCCAGCTTCCAAGCCCAGCAGATTATAGAGGATCACTGAAGCCATCAGAGTCATAGAAAGTCCTGAACACAACAAATGTCCTCAGCAGGTAGAGAAGACAAGACATCTGTGTTATGTGAGCATTCCAGTTTGTTATTGGGCTGTTCACCCAGATGCTTACTGGTACAATCTGAGAAGCTCCTGGAATCAGTCACCTTGTCTTGCTGACATTGATGTGCAGATGGTTCAGTTCACACCAAGCAGCGAAGACGGAGATAACCTCTCCTGACACACGTCCAACAATGACTGCGTCATCTGAAAACTTCTGGAAGTGGCAGATATCCAAGCTGTTGCTAAAGTCTGACATGTAAAGTGTGAAAAGGAAAGGAGAGAGCACTGAACCCTGTGGATTCCCCATGCTGCAGTCTACCACATGAGACAGTCGCAGAGCCTCTCATCCTGTTAGTGAGGAAGTCTGTGGTCCAGGCTGCCAGGTGGCAGCTGACCCCAGTTCCCTCCAGCTTCTCCTGGAGCAGTGAAGGCTGGGTTGTGTTGAAAGCTCCTACAGTCTTCCCTTTGCCCTCCAGATGCAGCAGTGGCTGGTGCAGCAGGTCAACGCCAGCATCAACCACACCAGAGCCTGTAGAGGAATATAACTATATTAATAGTTAAAAATCATGTTGTTGGTTGATTCACATTAAGATATGTTCTGACCGAAAAGAAATGTACTGTGTCAAATGGACTGGGCCAACCTGACCTAGAAGTCAGGAAGGATTTCAGATTGGAGAGATTTGGAATAACAATCGCTAGAGAGGGAAAGTTAAGCTGCTGTGCAAGAAACTTCTGGTAAAAGTCTTTCCCTGTTTGCGTGCGAGAGAGTCGGCCAGGAATGGGAAAGAATCTCTGTTTGGACAGATAAGGAACCAACAACTTGACTAATTGTCCTTCTGATGAAGTCAAATCCCTTTTCTCAGAACTTCCAACACATATCCAGTGTAAGACGGAGCCAGAATTGCTACGCAAGCGAATTTCGGTAACGCCATTGGTCAAAGCTTCCCAAATACACAACAGTAGGGCTGGAACTTTATAAAAACTGATGTCAGAAGTAAGAGGCAAGACATTTCGGATTTCTGAAACGATGAAAATGAGATGTGTGAATTCGCAGATGTGCATTAAATATCTTCCTGTTTATCTATGAGCAGAGAGAATGGAGTTTGGTTATCATTTCTTTATTTATGTATTCCATGAGTTTAGCACCTTTAAATTCCTCCAAAAGCCCCGATGGACTGCTGGGGAGCCATCACATGTTCACCAGGAAAAGGGTACAAACACAGAGTTAATGCAGAGGTTCCTGAATGGTTACTAGGATTCTTTTAGTTCAGTCACTTACAAGGAATTTATGTAAACTTTACATCTTTTCCATCTACAGTGGCTCATCTGTCCTCATATGCTCACTGATGTCTGATCTGTGTATAATTGTTAATCCAACCTGCTGTCAGTGAGCATCAATACTCAGTGAGTTGTTGTTTTACTCAGTGCATTGTGGGGCATGCCCACTGGGTGATCAGACAAAATGAGCAACAGCTGGACAATAAAAGCCCCCCCCCAAAATATTACCAGTTTAAAATCCTCAGATTTCTCATGTTATGTGGAGCCGTTGGCATGTTGGA